ATAGACTTTCATCTTGTTCGTAACTGTAAATATATTAAAAATTATTATAATAATTTAAAAATATTAATAATAATTATAATAACAATTATATAATTATATAACAATATAATTAATAATATAATTAATATAATTAATATATATATAATAATTATAATAATAATATAATATAATAAATATATTAAAATAATTCAACTTGATCAAATTTCAACGTGATTGATCTAACATTGTTAGATATATACATAAACATAAATATTTAATATTCTTAAAAAACAAAAGTATTGTTATATTCATTTTATACATCAAATGCAACCATAAATTTATTATTTTTCATATAAGAAATTACATTTCTAACAAACGAATGAAGTATAAATAAGATGCAGCATGGTAACGCGTATAAAATTTAAAAATAAGTATTTGGCAAGATTGAAAAAAAATTTAAGATCTCCATAAAATATATAGTAATGAAAAAGAAACAATACTTCTTCCCTTTTTTCTTAAATCTTAAATTGCTCGAAATTTAAAAAATTATACTTACAGGTTTTATGATAAGCAATAGGACTATGATAACTCATGGAAAAATTCTTGATCCAATTCCAAAAAAATATGCTGTTTAGAAGATTTTCAAAGATTGCATCGACCAATTGTTTCGAAAAAGTACATATATGGAGGACGCCATCATTTTGGACATCGCAGAAGAGACCACCGAATAATCTATTTTAATAAGGTATATTAATAAATATATATAAAGATATGTATATCTATATATATATGTCGATGAATAGATAGGAATGATACCGTTTAAGATTAAAACTTATTAATAATATAATAAAATAGCATTTTCTATCTTACATTTTCTAAAATAATAATAATAATGACAAATTCCAAACACAGTTGCAGACATGCTTGGCTTTGCTAGATACCTAGTCACGTGACATACATCTGCTTAATCTAGAAATAGTGGGGACAGCGTCATATATTCTCCTCTTCCTGAAACTTACCACGAACAAATGAATCATTTCTTTAAAATTAATAAATTATAATATTAAACACATATTATTATGTACTACCACATTGTGTTTAATTAACGAATTGTTTTTATCTCTCCATGTTGCAAACACAAAACCAATGATTGGGACAATAGAATGAGGTTCAACAAGATACAGACTCGCAATAACTGTTTCAACTCTGGAAGAAAGAGACATGTGTCAAGATAATGTTTCAAAACATGCGTATTCTGCAATTTATATCAAAAACAAGAGCAATTATCCATATTGTAAATGGCCGAAATCATATATAAATCTAACTTAAATAAGTTTGAAGATTAAAATGTTAAGAAATTAGAAAAAAAAAAAGATCATATTTTATTAGTGATTTTAATGAATGTAATGACAAATAATAAGGTATTAGTAAGCAATAATAAAGTAGTAAATAAATAATAATGCGAATAAGAATGATTAAATAAATAAACTCTGTATATAATTGAAATATAACAGAAATATAACAGAACAGAAATTTGTTTATCGATAATATGAAGGAAGAAACAGTCAAAATATAGGTGATACTAGATTTTGATTAAATCAATCACGAAATCCATCGAGATTTTCTATATTAGAGCCAAATAATGATATCCTTGTTATTTGATATTGCAAAAAAAGATTAATATTGAGATAAATTTTAAAGATTTATTAGACATTATAGTTTTTTATTTACTATTCATAGAAAATCTAATAAATAATTTGATAATGAATATAATGAATTAGAGTTAATAAGAAAAAAAATGAAGATGTGATAAATAATCACAATTTAAATAGAAAATTTATTAATTGTAATTCTTTTTATTTAATCGAGAATTAATTTTTTTTATTTATCGAGAGTAAATACAAAATCTTGAAGAAAATTAATTCTTATGTTTCAAAAGAAGATTAATTTCAAAAGAAATTGAATTATATCGAAAAATGTATAATTATTCGAAGATGGATTGAAATTAAATATAAAACTAATCGATAGAAAAAATAATAATTGATTAAATGGTATATTCAAATTGGACGATTCAATCAATGAATAATGAATGATTGCAAAAAAAAAAATTATAACAATAAAATTATTTCACATATATATCTCAAACTATCATTATTCTATTGTACAAGGAATATTGTAAAAGGAATATTTCCATATAAAATAATAATGTAATATAAAATGTAATATAAAATAATAATGTAATTTAAATATTTTTTATTTATTTAAAAAATAGTATTATTTCATTTATTGTGTAATGAAATTTTATCATTATATAACAAATAATTAGTATTTTATATTTAAAATTTATATTTAAAATCAATATATAACACAAGTATCCGTCCATATTAAATGTTTTTTATAAAAAATTTATATATAATTTAAAATTAATGTATAATACAAATATCAATTCATTTTATGTTATTTTTATAGTCAATCTAATAAAAGAGTAATAAATTAATTAAAAATATATTTAAATGTATTATAATGAATGAAGTTTTAAATAAAGTTTTATAAGTTTATAAGTTTTAAAGAACAAAGAAATCAAAAAATAAATATAAAACAAAATGATACAAATTATCAAAAATAGTAAATATAATATGAAATTATAGATTTGGCTATCAAAATCATGTAACGAATCAAGTGATAAATTTCGACATTATTGGAAAAAATTCTTTTAAGCGAGCTAAAAAATATAACACTTCAAGAAATAATGAAAAATTATCACTAAAAGTTTCTATTGATATTTATTGAAGTTGGCTTTCGAAATATCGGTATTTAATTATCAGAAATTTTAATAAAAAATTATATCTATTTTACAATACATTATTAAAAAAATGAATTATTACCCAGAAAAACAGTCGTTATTTAAATGACATCGACAAAATAAATGTTTAAGATATACTGTCATATATTTATAAATATGTTTGAAATATATTTTGGCAACTTTAAACGAAGATGATTGCAAATTATTAATTTTAATATCTTAAATAGAATTGTGATAATAAAATGATTATAGTAATTTAAGCATATTTGAGAATGAATTTTTCTCTATATTATATTTTTCTAAATTATATATAGTTCAAATGATATTTTTGTAATAAAATTTAATGTCTTTGTCAATACAATATTGTCTATTATAATTATATTCTATTAGAATTAAATTTATAAAAGAGACATTTGACATAATTAAAAGTGAAATTATATACGATGCACAATTTCGAGCAAAATGTAAAAAATTTAAAAGCATAGAAGAAAAGTCTCTTTCTCAGATAATATTAACAATGCTTGAAAAAAACATAGATTTTATTTCATATATATTGATGCAATTATTTTTTTTAATATAAAATAATATAACAAAAAAAATTGTGTATACATTTCTATCTAAATAAAATTCGCAATATTCTTAAGTTTTATCTTTCAAGTTCTAGCATAATTATTCATTAATTTAATGTAATTATATAAATATTTGGTTTAATATAATCGATATTGATATATGTCAAAATTTATTTAATGCGAATAAAAATTGCAAATTTAAATGATTTTGACAAGAATTGCATTTTTTAATGAAATAAAAATTAGCTTAAAAAAGATATATTTTTTTTAATTTATATTCACGTAAATAAATTATTGAAGTTTTTGAATATTTAAGATTTTTGATAGAAATAGATACTCGTTTATGATAGTAGATAATCGAACTCGTATTCAGATACTCGTTTTTATGATAAAAAAATTGGTCAATAATTGGAAACCAATATTTTTGTTTCGAGGAATGGGATCAAAAACAATTTCTTATCAGATATACATTAGATAGTTAAATGATTAGATATAGTTAGATAGTTTTAGATATTCTGAATAATACAAGTTTAACAGTTAGATGCAATCAAAGAGCAAGTAATATAAGCATGACAGAAAGAAGAGTTAATATTCAAAATCCATATTTTATTAAAAATGAAAAAAAATTAATTTTCTATTTTGATTATTAATTGATTATTTGTTCAAAATTATTAGAAATAATTGATTAAAATATGATTTCCAAATTAATGGTTCGCAAATATCCTGCTACGATGTTATTTTTTTATAAAATTTAAAATATGATAAAAATGCAAAAGTAATTTACAAATTAACTGAAAAACGTACAAAGCCAAATAATTTTGATAAAATGAAATGTAAATTCGTGTTGCAAATAATAAAGAATTTCTTTAATCTTCTATATAAATTCCATAAAATCGAATACTATATTGCACATTGCTAATTTTTCTGAAATCTTCAATCATTTGTTTGATAATTTAAATAAAAAAATAAATATCATGATCCTAACTTAAACAAGTATAACTTAAACAAGTATAAGTTTTATTTAACAATGATTAAATAAAATTTATAAAATGAAATATATAATGAAATTAGATTAACAACTGAAATGTTCTATTTATAAGAGCTATAGAAATTCAAAATTATAAAATTTATAAATTTTAATGTTACAATGTATTTTTTATAATACTTATACATTATATATTTGTATTTTTTTAAAATAGTAAAATAAGTTATTGTACATATGATTTTAAATTGTTAATATTTATGATTATAATATTTTTTATTTTTATATTTTGTTCTTTTATACATAATGTTCATGCTATTAAATAGAATTTTTCTATTCTATAAATACAAAAAAATAAATGAAAAAATTTATTTTCTTACAATTAGATGATTTTAAATTTTCATAAATAGAATACTGTATATTATATAAAACTATTTTAAGATCAATTCATTCATATTTATGATCATAATCTTCAAGGTTATGTAAGATCAAAAATGAAAAAAATATTTTGAACAATACTTCTTTCATTTTAATTTTAATTTTTTCATTATGTAGAAGATTTGGAAATTCTTGTGAAGAATATTTTTCAGGTTAAGAAAAAATAGAACAACTATTTATTTTGTATTTATATAATTTAATAAGATATACAGAAGCAAAATCCAATGTGCAAGATAATAAAAGTATAAAGTATTTAGAGAAGTACAAATAACTCAATTGATGCAATTGTTCGTATGATTACATTAGATTTATAACCATAGATGATATTGATTTTCAATGATTATTAAACATTATAGAATTAGGATATGATCGTATTATTTTTTCATAAATAATAATTCTAAATGCATCTAATATACATTGACAATATGACAAGAAAATCTTTTAAATAAGCAATGTTAAATAAACTAACAAAAAAGATAAAGATAAAAATTATTTATTAAAACTATTGTAATCAAAATCTTGTATCATATCGATTGCACAGTTACACATACATTTATGAAGTTCTTCATTCAATAAATAAAGCATCCAATAAATGAATCATTCAATTATAAATTAAAATAATTAAAAATCCAAAATATTGCAATTCGAGAATTGCAACTCTCATACTAATAATAAATTAATACAATTTATTAGATTAATATAACATTTCAGTAAATAGATATAATTCTAGTTAGGAATTAACATGCAACTCGTATACACTATAACATATTATAGTTCATAATTCTGGAATAATTTCATTAATAACTAAAACAAAATTTATATTTAAAATAATGAAATTATAATAAAAATTATAAGATAATATAAACTAAAATATAACTAATATTATAAAATAATATAAACTAAAATAAAAATTAGATTACTTACCAACATATAATTTAATATTAAACTTATCTGAAAATTTAATTCATTAAATTGTGTTTAAAAAAATCATTCGTGTTTGAGATTTTCAATTTTTTAATATATATTTTTCTTGTAAACTAATAAATAGAAAACTTTTTATTTGTTACGACTCTATAAAAAATTGAAAAAGAAATTTATGAGTAGATCAAATTAAGTAAAGACACAAAATCAAATTAAATAAATCTGGAATCAAATCTGAAGAGAGTATAAAATATCTATTTTTATATATTTTTAATAAATATCTGCATAGATTTTTCATAAAAAATATTATCATTTTGAAATTTAAATAATCGCAATGAATGGCTGAAGAAGTTTATTCATTTTCAGAGGAAATAAATTATTTCAAAGGAAACATAAGAGGATGAAATTGATTATATCGAAGATTATATATAGACATGTAAGTAGACAATATTGTTGCAATATTTTTTTGAAAACATTCAAAGCAAGAATCTAGAAAATGATAAACTTTTATTTATGGAAAAGATAGACATAAATATAAATGTCTCAGAAGACCAGAAATTAGAAAATATCAAAGTATAATTATAGTTACACATCTACTAAAAAAAGCCATGACTACAAGAT